CATTTGATTGGCAATGCTTTGAAGATGAACGATCCTTCTCACTTCATTTTCACATTGAATGTTGCGAGGATCAAAATGAGACAAGGTGGGAACAACCCATGTCAGCTCTTTCCGTTCTTCTGGAACGGTCTTTTCTCCCCCTAACAACGGGAAAATTGTCTCATCAAAATGACAATCAGCAAAACGAGCTGTAAACATATCACCTGTCAAGGGTTCCAAATATCTAATGATAGATGGTGAATCAAAACCCACGTAAATTCCCAGTCTACGTTGAGGTCCCATTTTAGTGCGTTGCGGCGGTGCAATAGGCACATAAACAGCACAACCAAAAACTCGTAAATGAGAAATGTTTGGCTGATGTCCAAACACGAGTTGTACTGAAGAGTATTGATGGTTGGCTATAGGTCTCAATCGAACCAATGATGCAGCATGTAAGATGGGATGTCCCCATGCAGAGACTGGCAATTTGGTTTTCATGAGCAGAGTGCGAGCTATTAACTGAAGCCGCTTAATCAATGCTTCTGCTAAACCATTTTGAGTATGGACATGAGGAACAGGGTGTTCAACATCAATGCCCAATGTCATGCAATAATCATCAAAGGTTTGAGACGTAAATTCACCAGCGTTATCAAGTCGGATTGACTTAATGGGATAATCTGGGAACTGTGCTCTTAACTTAATTATTTGAGCAAGTAGTCTCGCAAAGGCTACATTCCGAGTAGACAAGAGACAAACATGTGACCATCGGGTAGATGCATCAACCAAAACCATAAAATATCGAAATGGTCCACATGATGGTTGAATAGGCCCACAAATATCCCCTTGAATTCTTTGCAGAAATGATGGGGATTCAGCATCAACCTTTAGTTGAGATGGTCTAATTACCAACTTCCCTTGAGAACAAGCTTTGCAAGGGTTATCATTTGAGGCAGCAATGTGTCTGCTCACTAATGGATGTCCATTAGAGTTGGTAATGATCCTACGCATCATGGTAGATCCTGGATGACCCAGACGGTCATGCCAAAGCATGTAAACCTTTGAATCAATGAACTTCTGGTTCATGACAGTATGTGATTCAATTGTCCTTATGTATGTATAATATAATCCACTCGACATACCGTGCAACTTCTCCAATATACGCTTCTGGGTATCATTGGAGGTAATGCATAGATACTCCACATTTTCTGCACTTTTTGTTTCAATGTGGTATCCATTTAGACGTATGTCTTTGAAACTCAACAAATTTCGAGTAGATCGAGTAGCATACAATGCATTATGTATGGACAATATTGTTCCATTTGGTAACATAATCTGGGCTTGCCCTGAACCTTGAATTACATCTGAAGGTCCTGATATTGTTGTTACCCCTACTCTTGTAAGTTTTAAGCTTGAGAAATACTTTCGATCACGAAGTATTGTATGTGTGGTTGCACTGTCTGCAAGACAAATATCTCCACCATTTCTCATGTTCTGAGAATAACAACAGTTTTTATCCATGCTCTCTGAGTAAGAGAATCAGAATTAAAAGCAAGTTATAACAAGAAAATTTACATGCCACTTTTATTGAATCTGAGAATACTACAAGTTCAGCATAATAAAAGTACATTAATGATTCAATCGGACCGATATACTTCATTTCCCCTTTCCACAATATAGTCTGAAACATCTAGATGAGTTGTGTTCAACTGCCCTGATAAGTCAAACACTGGATCGGGTGTATCCATGGGTCTAGTCTGGTCGAGAAAGTTAGTCTCGACACCCTTCTCCTTGAGGGAGGCTTGATACAGATCCACTAGATGTTTTGGGGTACGACAAGTACGCGCCCAATGCCCATTGCCACCACACCTATGGCAGGCTCCTTCAGAGTTTCTAGGAGCATTGTTCATATGAGCTTTGCCTTTGTGGCGATTCACATTTTTGAAGCTCGGGCCTGAATTATTCCTGGGAACCTGGTTATGAAACTGAACTCCATGGTTCTTGCCTTTCCTATTCCATCGACCTCGCTTGTGGCCACGTCCTCGTTTATGATTATCACCACCAGAGGATGTGGTGTTCACTCCGAGGGAAGCATCATTCACTTCTGGGAATGGTGCAGATCCAGTAGGTCGGGAATGATGGTTTTTCATCAGGAGCTCATCATTCTGTTCAGCTACTAAGAGCACAGATATCAGCTGGTTGTACTCAGTGTAGCCTCGCGCTCTATACTGCTGCTGCAGGAGCACGTTGGAGGCATGAAATGTGCTGAGAGTCTTTTCCAGCATATGCTCCTCGGTAATAATATCCCCACAGAGCTTCATCTGAGAGGTAATTCTGAACAATGCAGAATTGTATTCTGCCACTGACTTGAAGTCTTGAATCCTCAGATGAGTCCACTCATAGCGGGCCCTTGGAAGAATCACCGTTGTCTGGTGATTGTATCTGCTTCTCAAGGCATTCCAGAGAGCTAACGGATCTTCAACCGTTAAGTACTCGCTCTTTAGCGCCTCATCAAGATGGCGGCGAATGAAAATCATGGCCTTTGCCCGATCTTGAGAGGATGAGTTGCTCTCTTCCCTGATGGTATCTCCAAGATTCCCTGCTTCCAGATGGATCTTGGTATCCAGTACCCAGGTCAGATAATTCTTCCCGGTAATACCCAGGGCAGCAAATTCAAGCTTCGCCAAGTTCGCCATTTTCTTTTCTGAAAGAAAATGAGATGTGTAAGAACTTGCAATAATATGTATTCCTGGAGGAATATGATGTTAGAACTTCTGGTTCTTACAAATTTTTCATTTTGATCTTCAGGCCAAAATGATAAGCACTCGAAACTTCTGGCTCGAGATTTTCAGGGTGAATGAGGAGGGCGATCGTACCGCACCATTCTCATTGAAATAATGTAATATAGAATGGGCGATTATTCCGCACCACTCAAGTAACAGGAAAATTAAATATGCAGAGCAGCGTGGGCGATTATACCGCACCACATAAAATTGCAATGAAATTAAACAGCAGGTAAATTCAAATATGCAGGGTAGGGTGTGCGATTATACCGCTCCACCTAAAAATTGCAGTAAAATTAAATCTGCAGTCCAAGATAGGCGATGATACCGCACCGTCTTGGATCGCAATAAGATTAAATTTGCAGTTCAAAATGGGCGATTGTACCGCACCATCTTGGATTGCAGTAGAATTAACACAAATAAATACTAGGTTAGTAATCAATCTCTACACTAAACAAGTAATCAAAGATGTATGTAACCGTTAGTTGGAGAACTATGAGCAGGCATGGAGCAAACAACTCGTCGCGAGGGTACACGGCGCAGTTGAGGCAGAGGAAGAAGATGAACAGTAAAAACCTTAAAGGAAACATTTTTTTTTTTCTTTCTTTCGTTCGTTCAGCGAAGAGAGATGAGAGAATAAATATATTTAGAGACTCGTGCTGATAACGTGTTATAAAAGGGTTAAAGTTTGAGAGATAACCTTTTAAGTGGTAGGTGCAAGGTAGATGTAAAATGCCACACAAAAACTATAGCACAGACAGATAATAAAAGGCAGAGGAATATATGATGTTATTGATATTTTTCTCTTGTATTTCTTCTTCATCTATCATCTGTTACATGCGGAGTGCTCTATTTATAGAGCAACTCGAACTGATGCAGTTAATGCATCTTGAAATTTAAAATGTACCTCTGACACTTTCATTCAGCATGGGCATTGAAAACTTTGCCCATGCAGATGACTTTAGCTTTGTGGGCATTCATTGCCAACAGAAGTGTGAGACTTTTCAACACAAATAAAGTTATAGTCCTCATATGTTAATTGGATTTCGATTTCGTGTTTCTTTGCTTGCATTTTCATCGTTGTAATTTCATTTTGTTTTCACTCTTAGTCAAATTCGACAAATGAGGCAAGTTCATTCCAAGTTGAGTTTTCCAAAAGGAGTGGAGGGACGAGCCTAAGACTGTTGAATCGATAAACCAGACTAAAAAACCGTGTTGAACAAAAGTTAATTTTGGTTCAAAAGTTGAACTAAAGCGGTCTGAACCAATTTGATTCATAATTTTTTTCCTTAAAATGGTTAAAGTCTAAAACCGAATAGGACCAGCCTAACCAAAGTTGATTGGTTTGGTTTCCTTGACTAGTTTTGCTTTGAGCAAAACCTGACCAAACGGATGAGGAGCTTAGATTTCATTTACATTTTTTTATGATCAAATGAGATCACAAGAAGATGTGCACTAAAATGGATTAAAAGATAACATTAGTTGAAGCGAAAACAAAATGAGACAATAAGGACGAAAATGCTAAAAAAAAAAAAAAAAATTACAGACAGAAAAATGAAAACTCAAATAACTACATGGATTATTAGTGCAATTTGAAAAGGACACAGAACACCAAAACTGAATAGAATAGAGACATACCAAACTTGGCTATTTTAGGTCCGAATTGGTTTAAATTCGTTCACCATTTCTGCATTGGGCTGGTCTGATGAGGAAACTTAACGTACTATTCATTAGGATAATTTAAGAGATGAGAGAATTTAAATTCAGAAAGCATGAGTGAAACTCAAGACCTTATTCATTAAAATATTAGATCACGTACGAAACACTTAAAGATGAAAATGAAAAGTAATTCTTACATAGACGAAAATGAAAACTCGAATAAACTACAAAAACTATATCTATTATACGGACAAGAATTGTTTGTCCTTCCACTTTGGTGCCCTTCCGTTTGTGTGGTCATGGTTAAATCAAGTTAACATTTTATATTACTATTCATTTTTGTCTTATTATCTTTATAAAAAAATAATATAAAATATTAACATGATTTAATCGTGACCACACAAACTAAAAAAATACGGAAGAACACCAAAAGTGAAAAGGTAGAAAATCCTTGCACCTATTATACACCGAACATAGTGGGCTCCCTAGTACCCATCCAAGATGCAAAACTCATAAATGTTTCTGTTTTGCTTTAGAATCATAATTCATAAATTGTACTAATTAGTAATTACCTGGTTTTTTGGAGGACCATCAAACGAGGCTGAGGTCCTTCCCTTCTCGATTTGATCCCACCATTTTCCTCCTCTGCCTCCTCTGTCCTCCACGTCCACCATATACACTGTACACATACGTGTATATAAATATATATATATATATGTCTATTCTGAAACACCCTATCTCTCCCTCTCTCTCTCTGAACTTTCAATTTTAATTGCATCCCACTTGTCTCCTCCCATCAAGTTTTTACTATTCACATTCTGAAACTTTCACTCCCTGCAAAAATCTGATCTTGTTTTTTTTCAACTTGTTCATATAATCATTTTCCAATCCTCTTCTGAGAAATGGGCAGCTCTCAAAATTTCATCTTTTGCCACAGACATAGAATTCTTTGCGTTTCCATCCTGTTCTTGGTTTCGAGCTCGACCCATCTGATATTTATGGCTGAAGGTCAGTAAATTCTACTCCTTTTTTAAATTTATTGAAAAAAATAAGTAAAAAACACCTCTTTCTTCCAAAGAAAAAGAAAAGCTCACATGGGTTCTGTTTGTTTTTTTAATTAATTTATGGGTTTTGATTTTTCAGGTGGTAGAACAATTTCAGGCAAGCTTACTGAGGCTGCTCAGGCGAGAGTTCTAGAGGAAAATAGAGCAGGAATGGCGGTCAACGCACGTCAAATAGGATCAGCGCCGCCGAGGTGCGAGCGGATTTGCAGCGCTTGCGGGCGTTGCGTGGCGGTTCAGGTTCCAGTTGCTCCTCAAGACAATAAAATGAGAAGCCATGGCGGCAGCTCCTCTACTTCTCCCAAGAATGTAGCTTACTCCAGAGGAGATGACATTACGAATTATAAGCCAATGAGCTGGAAATGCAAGTGTGGGAATTTGCTCTTCAATCCTTGAATATTTTGATCAATTTTCCCATTATTTTGTAATTACTAATTAAAAAAAAAAATGAAACGAAAGCTCTTATTTGTACACTCTGTCGTTCTCAATGTTTTTTTTAATTTTATTGTATTTTGGTATTTTTGGTATGAATGTGGTACGTGCAGCAGTAACAGTTGTTTATTTTTGCCCTTTTTGCAGAGTAATTTTCAGTGTGATGTGAATACAGGGTACATCAAGTATCATAATATAAAAGGTTAAAATTTATTTAAGTATTTAATTATTTGTATTATGACACTTGATATACTTGATCTTGTTTTCTGCCTGCTTAAAAATCTCTTCTTTTTGCACGGCTGACATTTTTTAGTTATGAATCTAAAGAAGAAATATATTTTAAAAGGGAGTGATGTAATAACTAAATACCCACGGACTTCATCTTTATTGTCATTGGTATTATCTAATTAATAGAATTAGGAGAATTTTTCTTAATGCCTTAGAGTACCGAATATTTCGAAAGTTTTACGTGTTATAGTCTTATTGAAGTTATTTAAACAAACGATATTATTTACATTAAAAGAAAGAGGATGGACTTAACCTCATAAGATCATCTCCAACTTTTGACCTAAAACCTAAAATTTTAGCTCAAGGTTATAAAAGAATGAATTTAAGCTATTTTTTTAATTAGTTTAAAAAAATTATGTAGACTGTCCTAAATTAATTTTATGAACATTTCAATCTAAAAATATTTAAATTCCTATAAACATTGAAAAATCACTAAATCGATACATGAAACTCATGAAACACTATGGAAGAATATGAAAATCAAGATATAAAATTTAATAATAAACCATATAAACTTAATACAATCGAAAATTCATAAACTACATAAACTTAATAATGATATCTACCATCTTGACTTGGTGGTGGACTTGGGATATAGCCTTGAGATGAATCATCATCTTGAAATATATTCCTTGTGGCATGCCTTCGCAAAATTTCCTTTTGCTTAGCACGTAAGAACTTCTTCCTCTCTAGAGTGTATTTATTGAGGTCCTCCATCAAGAAATTACATTCGAACCTCTTTTGTGTGGATATTTGAACAAATACATAGGTATTTATAGAGTTCTTGTGTGAATTTTGAGTTAAATAATTTTTTAAAATTATTTTAGCCGTTGGATTTAAATTTGAGCCGTTAGATTTTTTTTTTTTTTTTTTTTTACCGTTACATTTGATTATTCGATCTCAGCGGTTGAATTCAATGTATTTTAAAATTAGATTTAAAAAAAAAATTTAATCCAAAGAAACCAACCATCGAATTACAAGTAGAGCCGTTGGGCTCATGATGGTGGCCGACAACTGCCTTGACAGTGGGCCCCCATGCCGAGCACTGAAGGCTTCAAATCACGTGTTGAAAGTGCGGTGTGCTGGTGGGCTAAGATTGGGCTTGTTTATGGCGAGTCCACGTGCGCAGCTAGGCTCCATCAGTGTTTTTGGGCTAAATCCTCGTTGGTATTTGGTTTTGTTTTAGGTTTTCGCTCCAATTGGGGGGGGGGGGGAAATAGAAGGGGAAAAATAGGTTAGAGTTCAGGGTTGAAGTTGGTCTAATGAGCTAATAACAATGTGATTCAAAGTCTTATTAAAGTTATAATAAGCAAAATCTAACGAATACAAACATCAAAGCATAGGATACTCTCGAACAACATAAATACATCATAAAACCATAAACATACAATAGGAAGAAAAATGATAGAAAGAGTACTACGACGATAAACACGTTTCACCAAAGTAAGCTATTGTCATTTAACTTCAACAATTAATAAACTACACGCCTAAATATTAAAAAGAAACAAAATTAGAGAATTCCCTCAAAACTACATGAACGTAAATCATAATTTAGCTTAAAACTCTGCGAATGGCGAGACTATAATTAACAAATAAATTTGAAAGAAATAAGACTGAATAACAATAATAATAAAACCACTCGTATTTGGAAGAATATCCTCCTTCTTCTTATTAAGTGGTACAAAAAATAAATAAAAATAATGGTATCTCAGTCTGTCAAGATAAAGACGTGAATTTATATATTTGATTTTATTTAATTTTTTGGTGGGAATTTGGTAGGGAGGGCAGGGAGGAAGGAATGTGAAATTGGAGATGGAAACGGAGGGTGTCAAGTGACGACATGGAGTAAGATAATAAAAGAGTTAGAAGAAGATGGCGACGTGTCAGTCTGCTATCAGGATTCAGGCCACTTCTGCAACTTCTGTTGCGTATCCAACAAGATACTCTCTCGCTTTTTCTTTGCCCCATTTGCTTTCTCTTGCTTGCATTGCAGATTACGGTTTAGAGAGAGAGAGAGAGAGAGGGAGGGAGAAGACAGAGGGACATTACAGTTTAGTTTAGATAGAGAGGGAGGGAGAAGAGAGAGAGAGACATCATAGTTTAGAGAGAGAGAGCTGAAAGCTGAAGGCCTCTGCCATTTGTTAGACGGGAGACAGCCCACCCACCACCACCTCGAATCGATAAACACTTAAACCCTACCTACGCCCTATTTCCAATATTCTTTTCTTTTCTACCCACCACCATCACATGATCTCATATTTACTTGCGAGAAATGTTAAAAACTCTCGATATAAGACTCTTTATGAACTATTCATTATTTTATGTTTTTAACATAATTTTTATATCAATATTATAAAATATTATAATAAAAATATGAGGTGACGAAGAGTTTCATTGTACGTGAATCTTCTTCATATTTCTCTTAGTATATTATTATATATATATTTAAAATTAATTAAGTACAGTAATATCCTGCGCTAATAAAATATGTTTTTATACGCACGACGTCACACCGTTCAGAAAGAAAAGCTAATGGTGCATCCGTACTGTTTAAGGCGCTCTCTAAATTAGGGTGAGTATGTAATCCATAAGACTTCATGGCTCGGTGCATGTTGCGTCGACTGTCGATTCCGATCCGTTGCATAAACCTGAAACCCTCAAAACATTCACAAGGTCATGATTAATTAGTCTGCCAATCATAAAATAATTATCAGTATTTAGGAGACGTCAAAAGCATTAATCTTGTTTGAAATTGTTTCTGGAATAACTAAAATTAATTCTTAACCACTTCATAATAATCTTTTGATTTTGTAACCCTTCCTGAAAATACACCTACAAGATGCGTCATCAAGAAGCACTTGAAAGCGTTTCTGGGCTTGTATCAAAATGGCTTATGAACTAGTGCTCTCAACAAGAGCAATCTCAAACAAGCCCTAAAAGCGCTCCCAAGCAAGGGGAATTCCTGATCGCAACGGGCTATTGTACGACACAATATCTCCACAAGCAGAATATGAGATGATTACACATTATACAACTACATGAAAAATAAATAAGAGCTGCCCCAACATATCATCCCCTCTGCCTCTGCTGGAGAAATCATAGGACTGAAAATATAATGACAAAAGAAATTCATATATATCAGAAGTTTTATGTCATTCCCTTGTTAAGGTTCTCAATTTAATACAGCAGTAGGGCTTGCATTACATCGATATAAAAACACGGTAAGTGCGAATGTTCGGCGAACCAGTAAGATCGGGCCTAACAACTGGTAGGAAAATGAATCTGGCATCAAACAACAACATGAAACTCTGAAAAACGAAACTAGATTAGTCTAATATTCAGCGAGGTGCAGCAGCATACATTTGGCTCGAGTCATACTGGGGATAACCAGGCTGGGGGGACACCGTCTTTCCATAACCAGCTGATGCAGCTGGTGGTGCAGCTCCATAACCGGCAGACTGGGGGATCGACTGATCATAAGTTTGTTGAGCTGCTGGTTGTGCATAACCTGGCTGCGCAGCTGCTGGTGCACCATATGCTCCTGCAGAGGCTCCTCCATATCCAGGGTCTTGAGACCCCTGGTACCCATAACCTGCTGCGTTTGGAGCAGCCTGCTCAGTGTAACCTTGCTGAGAAGATGGGTATTGTGCGTACCCTGCAGTAGGAGCTGCCTGTCCATAGCCAGGCGCCTGCTGTGCACCAGGCTGACCATAACTAACAGGTTGTCCTCCTTGTTGTGGATAACCCGAGCCAGAAGCGGGTGGTGGCTGACTGTACCCATCAGCAGCTGGTGCAGAACCATACGCAGGATAGGTCTGCTGAGCAGGTCCACTGGATGCATATGGATATGGCTGTTGAGCCGGGACATTTGGACCATATGAATGAGGTGGTGCAGAACCCTGATAAACCGCGTCTCCAGGTTGACTAGCCCTAGGAGGGCCATAAGACTGAGGATTTGGAGCTTGTGATGGCATGCCATATGGTGGTGGCTTGCTGTAAGTCTGCTGTGGACCATAACCTGGATGAGCTCCAGTTTGTGGATATTGCTGAGAAGGTGCTTGTCCTCCGTAGGGATACTGCATTGGAGCATGATTATCATATTTTGGTTCTTCGTATCCATGCCCATAGTTATGCTGAGGAGGTGCAGCCTGGGAATAAGTTGCCGGATGACCATAATTGTAATTTGCTTGGGAGGGTGCACCCATTGCAGGGTTAGGAGATGGTCCAGGAGCATGAGAAGAAACGGGAGCAGAATGTTGGGCAGATACTGGGGCATCTGCTCCTTGTCCACCATAGTAATCATAACCACCACCATGTGGCATGCTGGAAGGTGGCCTTTGCCCCCAACCAGAACCATAGCCACTTCTTGGACCCATATGTTGAGGATAACCCCCATACGCAGGAGGGTACTGAGGATTATGGGATGGATAAGGTCCTCGTTGCGGATAATCATACGAATATGGCTGAGGTAGATGAGGTCCTCGCGGACCCCATTGAGGACCACCTGGTCCATGGGGACGATAACCCTGATGATTAAAACCACTGGAGAGAGGTGATGGCCTCACAGTCTATTCAAAGAAAATCACAAAATGAAATAATTAGTACATATAAACAACAAATCCATAAATAAATGAGAAACTAAATACAGAAGTTGCTGCTCTAGCCACATCTTGCGTTCTTAAAACTTGAGGGCTCCTGTGCAGTATCTTGACTGAATGTGATGAATGGATATAAGGAACAAGAGTTACTATAGCAAAAGATACAATGTGAAATTGCAATCAACAAACAATACAAGAAAATAATGTCCGAGACTACACATAGCAGACAACTGTTCACTAAATAGAAACAAACGAGTTTAAAGGGTTGCTAAAACAAATAGTAAGCCATCAAACAATTCATTGTAGAAGTATGTTCAACAAAACGTATACTCAGGGTAGTCCTATATTGTCTGGCTATCACAGTCCCCGTCTTATCAAACAAACAAAAAAAAAGAATATGTTGACAGGTGCCTCTGTAAATGTCTAATAAGTTCAAACCCACTATAACCCCTTCAGCAAAGTCATCCATGTATCATTTCAGTGTCGAAAAGTAAACTACTAAGATACAATGCAAAGTTGATTTCTAATGCAATAGTCACAGATCTGGTTTTACATGCTTGCGTTTACCCTATAAAGATCCTTCCAAACTCAAATAGCAGAGATAGCCAGGTGCTGCTAAAATTCTATCACAACTACATGAGTAATAATTGCCCCTTCTTTTTTTTTGTTCTCTCAAGTCAACATGCAGTAAAGAAAATTAGTTGATGTTAATGACTCCAACTTTGACAGGCTTCATCTCAAATGTTACGAAGAATTTCAAGCAAACCCACAACATTGAATTACAGGCACATCAGGATTTCCAAGTATCAAGCAAGAAACATCACATGTTGATTTCAACCCTTTGAGGACTATGATAATTCTGCTTAACGTATTTGTGGTGCATGCTTCAGAATTAATTCAAGTCGATTCAAATGGGTAACAAGTAATAGATGTAAGATATTGTGATATTCTAGAATTGACCCTAGCCAAAGAAATGCCGGTGCCTTCATTGATACATATCAGAAGACATGTACACATAGTTTGAGAACATCAGCATATCATCATACACAAACACTTTGACTAATGGTTTCATACAAATTCTTTTGAATCATCAAGTCACCAGGAATATCAATTTTTTCCATGGACGTGTCATGCATAGAATATTGGAAGTGCTTATGAGCACTAAGGCTAATGAAATATAGTCTTACTAAATTAGGATTTTCAACTTCAGGTCTCAAAGCAATCTTACCAACTATTAACATCCTGCAATCGCGAGATTAAATGCCTGATACCTTTCTTCGGTGGATGAGAGTGAATAGTGGTTGTCTAGGCAATGCTGACCCCATGCAAAATGCAATAGCCAAATCTGCATTTTTAAAGCCAACCAATTCGAAATTGGCACCTTCAACACAAATAAATCATGGCAACCGGCATCTTTGATTGAATACATGATCCTCCTAACAGCAATTAAGCGACGTTGGCATCGTTCATTCATCAATATTGCAAACTCTTAGGAGCAAAAGGTCATGCTCTCATTCCCATGGCAAAATATGGTAACAATTCTTTCCTCAAATGAACCAAAAGTTGTCACAGGCATGCAAATACAGTTCTTGGACATCCAATCATACCATACTATGTAAGTGTACTTGTTTATCGGTGTCTCCAAAAACAATTGACAAGAATCAAAACATCCAAATACCTCAGTTCATTTTACTCAATATCTAATTAATAACACTTGACCATCTCTATCTTAAATCTTGATGAGCATAGGATATGGTTGACCGCATTTCAATTAAGCAGGAAAGCCATTATACAGGCACACTTCAAATAGAACTAAAATAGAAAAGCACAATGCTACACATAAAGCTCATGCTTTTACACAGTATCCAACCATTTGTAGCGTAAAACACGCCTAGCAGGTGTATGAGATCAGAAGCAGGTACAAGAAACAAAAGAAATCAACCACCATACAGTGACAATGGTTCAATGCAGAAGAAACCACAGCAGCAACCACAATACCGCTCACAGAAAATAAAACACCACAAACGTAACAACCTCTGTATAGGCAATCACAAATTAAAAATCCAAAAAAAAATAAAATTTCAAGGATTAGGTCAAATAGTAACCTGATTCATAACCTCCTTTATCAATTCTTTAGCAACTTCAATCTGCTTCTTATCACCAGTAACTCGGACAGTCCTTTCTTTAGATTCATCCCCCTCCGGAAGATGTTGGGGTATCAACTAAATGACAGGAAAAAGGTTAGGGCGGTAAGGACATGTTGCAGTAAGAAAAAAGAGTAACATTCTATTCCCATGCATAAAGGCAAGGCATACAATATCAACTACCTGGATGCGTGCCCCTGATGTGGTCTGCAGACCTTTAATGGTCTCCCCACCTCTGCCAATTATCAAACCGACCTAGCAGAAGAAAATTTTAGACTTTTATAAAGTATTATGGAATGTAAAGGCACAGATCATGTACACATGGAAGAAAATCAATCACCTTCTCATTCGGAACTTGAATCTGAATTTGTTCTGCAGCTGCAACAGCCTGTGCAGTAGCAACACCTCTAGCAACCAAAGAAGGAGAACCCCCTGCATCAGCCTGAAAAAAAGTGTACACCATATTCAGCATGAAAAAACTACAGATCTCCAATTGTGAAAACATATAAGAGGAGCAAGATTCTTGGAAAGCAGAACAAGACAGAGTCAGAGAGAGCATAACCTCTGCAATAACGGCATTAATCAGTTTCTCTGCCTTGCTTATACTATCCAAAGTTCCTATTATCTCCACAGGCCTGGTTGCAGAATATGGGTCTGCATCGGAATCCCTTGTGATTTGAATCTTTGCTCCAGAATTGTATTGCAAGTACCGTATAGTATCCCCCGACTTTCCAATTAAAACCCCAACCTGCACATATATTTATACTTTAGGCCACTTTTTTTTTCTTTCCAGCTAATATTTACAAATTAATTCCGAACAAGTTATAGGTGGAATTTGAACCAATAGGAGCTAAGAGCTCCCAGTTACATAATATGAATGTAAGCAGCAGACCTTATTATTAGGAACCTCCATTTTGTGTGTCAAAATCTCATTTGCAGAAGGCTGCTCTTGTTGCACAAAGTAAGCTCCACCTTGCTGTGGTTCCTCTGCGTAGTGTGGTTGAGACTCCCCTTGAGGGGGTTCCTCAGCTTTTTCCGCCACAGAATTCTCAGCAGGCTTTTGGGTGTCGCTCGGCTCACCATTCATGTCATTATGTTGTTCGTTAACTTCAGACTTTTGCTCGTCAGTCACTGCTTCAGTAACTTCCACAGATGTAGGCTGGGGGACCTCTGGGTCACCGCTATCAACATTTGGTTGATCCTCATTCTCTTTTTCGGGCTCATCTACCTCCTCCTCTTGGTGGCCATTCTCACTAGCTGTTACCATCAAAGAAGATGCCATTAAAATTAAAAAAAAAAAATCCCTTATTTTTTTCATGCAAACCAATTCTTACGAACTAGTAAATTACCTAATCCTTTACAAAAAGGCCACAAAAAATATTTCTTTTATAACAAATTGAAGTACTTCTAATCAAGAATTACTTCATAATGCTAATCAATTCAAACAATTACAGGAAATCACTTCAAAAACATTCACAAGATTTTAGCAAATAAAACCGAAAAAAATACTCATGGAAGCTAAAAACAAGATAACCTGCAACTAGTTCACAGCCAAAAGGATGAGAAAAACCCTAGAATTCAAGCAAAAATACCTATTCCGTGGGGCTTGTCATCAATACGAGGCTTCTTCGCCTCCGATTCATCTGAAGGCGGCACATCAACTTCTTCAGCGCAACCAGGCTCCGCATTCGCATCATCCGGCCCGTCGGAGTCGAGCTCAACTATTTCGGGTGCTGCTTTAGGCTCCAAATCCTCGAGCTTCCGCTTATGATCCGACGGCCTAGGGCTTTCCACGGCAACCACAACCTCCTCCTCCGCCATAGAGCACTCGATAGGTCGGTGGGTTTTGGCGAATCTAGGGTTTGAGAGTTGGAGTTTTGAGCGTGTGGGAGATATGGAGGGAGTTAATCAGAACGGATACGACAGTGTGTGAGTGATGAGAGGGTTTAAAGGCTTACATGGAGTGGGTCCCTTAGTTAATTTAATGTGACCCACCGAAAACAATTTCTAGGGTTAGCCTTATTGGGCCAACGGGCCATTTTGAATTTTTTTTCTATGGGCCGGTGGGCTGCATTGCTTAGGGTGAGTACGGTCTAGTTCGACTCGCTTCACTCAAACTAAAATCGGCACCAGATAATAGGATAGTGCTATCTATGCGTCCATTCTTATTTTTCACATCTTCTTATCAATTGTTTTGTGGTCAGATCGAATAAATTGAAGAACAATAATGGTGAAAAACTAATAAAAGTGTGTAAAAGGTAAAAATAAGTGTGCGAATAATAATTTCCTTATCTTTTTGTTGGAGGAAGATTTGAGAGAAATAGAGAAGGCTTGCAACTGTAATTAGGTCTAAAGATAAAGTTAAGGGTTGCCACTTAATACTACAGTAATTCTATTTATAGGATAACATCTATTGGGCCTATTTTGGATCCTGTCCGAGGCAAAGCCTCGGGATCCTCTTGACCAAACAACACAGGCCGTTGGATTTTGATCCATCGGCTACAATTATTATAATTTTAAAAAACCTCATATTTGTAGCCGTTAGATCAAAATTCAACTACCTGTATTGACGCGCCCTTTGTTCTGTTTTACTTGGGCCTCATTGCCAGACGGGGAAACAACTTTTTTTATTTTTTTTATTTTATTTTATTTTGTCAGATGATTGATTTTATTATATTAGTTGTTGAAGAAATTCGAAATCACGTCATGGAAGCGCCTGAAAGAAAACAATTTAAAAAATGAAAAAAGTACAAGAAAGAAAAAGAAAAGGCACGCAACCGCCAATTGCAACGGTGAATGCGAAGCCGACGTTGCAATCCACCTGCCATTCAACACCGACCGAGCTGTCATTCTTCTTCCGAACAACAATGCCCTCGTCCTTCCTCCACATCTCTTCCTTCTCGGTCATGATTTTTCCAGATTCCCTATCCGCAATTCCCGCAACCATTTGGGTTTTGCATTCCACTTCCTCGCGCTCCTCTCACAAATTCTCAAATTCCCAGTTCCACTATAAAATCCCGGCCCAATTCCATTGTTTCTGATGGTGTTTCCGGCGCCGGCGATTAGTGTTTTGGGATGAATTGAAAAGGAGGAGCTTTTGAGTTGGGGATTTGAAAAGGGAGGCAAGGAACTGGAGTATGGGCATGCCGGATTCGGAGGCGAAGCGTGTGGCGGAAGCGGAAGAAATGTTTCCGGATTTGCTGAAGAACTCGCCGAGTAATATCGCGAGATTGGAATATGAGATTGGCAAGTGTAAGGGCCACCAGAAGTACTTAGCTCAGACTAGAAGCCCGTCCGACGGCAGCGATGTCCGGTGGTACTTTTGCAAAGTTCCATTGGCGGAGAATGGTAACTCGAATCTCACTAAATTCAAATTCCAAGTTCTAGTGTGTGTTTCTACTTCTCAATTCACATTTGACTCACAATTGGTAATATTCTGCTTCTGGGATTGTGCAGATATGGCTGCTTCAGTCCCAAAGAGTGAGATGGTGGGGAAAGGCGAATATTTTCGGTTCGGTATGAGGGACTCTTTGGCAATCGAGGCATCGTTTTTGCAGGTGCGTTTGGTTTGTTATGTATAAATTTGTGCTTTTGTGTTTGAATTAGTCTTATTACGTGAGGGTTGGATTTGCATGTATGTAGAGGGAGGAAGAGTTGCTTTCTTGTTGGTGGAAGGAGTATGCAGAATGTAGCGAAGGCCCGAAAGAGCAGCCTGGTTCAAGTAAGAAGGTGGCTCAGCGGCAGAGTTCATTTTCTTTAGAAAGAGGCCGGTCAGTTGAGTTAAATCAACTGGAAGAAGAGAGAGTTGGTGTCCCTGTTAAGGGAGGGCTTTATGAGGTCAGCCTTCTATTTCCAAGGTTTTCTGTGTCAGTGTAAAGAGTAGAGAAATGCCTGTGGACCTGAAAATGTAGCTATCCAGTACCAATCAACTCATTTGCATGCTCTGGCAAGTCTTTCGTGGTGTTCTCTTAAGTAGTAGTTGTTGATGAATCCAGTTAAGTTGATGCGAGGAAAGTTTTGTATGATTTTCAGCAAAACTCTCATGATGTTGTTTGCATGATTATATACGTATTGGTTTCTTAGTCTGAAGTGTATTGAGTGAAATGAACTGACTCCAACTATATTCTGGATGAAGGTGTGATTGATTGAGTTGACATAGTCATGTAATTGCTGCAGGTAGATTTACTGAAGCGATGTTCTTTCCCTGTTTACTGGGATGGAGAAAACCGGCGTGTCTTAAGAGGTCACTGGTTTGCTCGTAAAGGGGCTGATTGGCTCCCATTGCGTGAAGATGTTTCTGAACAATTAGAGGTTGTATATCGTAGTCAGGTTAGCCACAATATTAAATTGGGTGAATTTAAACAATGACATGTTCTTCTCATTGTCTATTTGGTAACTTTTATCCAGATTCTATGTGTCAGAAAGTGTGATAACTCCCTTAATTTAATTTGATTCAGGGTATTATTTTAAGTTCAAAACATACAAAAATTATGGAATGATTTTAAGACTGTTTCAGTCTGCCCCTTGTACAATGTGCTCTTCCATTTTTAGACTCATGTTCTGAATCTCGTTTGGTATACGCGGTATAAATTGGAACTTTTCATCTCCAGGTTTGGCACCGGAGAACGTTTCAACCCTCTGGACTTTTTGCAGCTCGAGTTGAATTGCAAGGCTCTACACCCGTATGTGTATTGCTATTTGGAAAAGACATTTTATTGTTTTATTGTTGTATTCTTAAACACATCCTGGGGATGCACTTTTAGGGACTCCATGCGCTTTTCACAGGAGAAGATAACACTTGGGAGGCTTGGCTAAATATAGATGCTTCTGGTTTTTCTAGTGTCATTTCTTTAGGTGGAAATGGAATGAAGTTAAGGCGTGGATATTCAGCATCTCACTCTCCGAAACCCACCAAGGTTTCTATTTTGGCCCTGATAAATTCTTTGATAGGATAAGTTCTGACACTGCCTTCAATATTTTTTTTCAATGTTTTATCTTTTTGGGATATTTATATGAGTCAAATTCTTGAATTTATTTGAGCAATTTTGTAATTGATGCCAGATTTGTTGTTTCTTTTTGGTACTTGTGTAATTACACTTATTGCTGTGTGAACTTTTCTGTGATATCGTCTTAATTTGATGGCGTCTATGCTTTGGATTCTCATGGACGTTTGAAGTTGGAAAAGTATGATCTGAATTTTGTTGGAAGTCTGGCATTCTATTCAGTAGCTGGTGTCTTTGTAAAATTTCAGATAATCCTTAAAACTTTTAAACAGAAAATGAAAATTGCTTCTCAGATTTACTGAAACTATTTAAGCAAGGCACACATGGTATTTGCTCCTAGATTTTATCATAGTATTTTTGCTCCAAGAATGAAGCATTCATCTTCAGCTTTTATAAAAAACAGCCAGTGTTCCAAAGCCTTTCTATATATTTTAGGTGTAAATGTAATAATGGTAACAAGAGGAAAAGGAAAAGATAACAAAACAACAGGAAAAATTAGTTGCTACCATGATAATAGGTTTTATGTGTCATTGCATGTCCTGATGGTAAGGGTTTGGTCAGTCAGTTACATTCAAATCTCTAGTGGTAGCACATGAACAATTGCCATTGCTTCTTAACTGTATGTTTGCTTCACCTCAGCGTTGTCTTATTTATCTTGTTCGGTTCTGATTTTTGACATGAGAATTTCAACCATTTCCAGCAACAGAAAATCTTCTTTGTGTTTTAAAAAAATTAAAACAAAAAACTTATCATTTTTCTCACAAACTTTCCATTATAGGATGAATTGCGCCAGCAGAAGGAGGAGGAAAGGGATGATTATTGCTCACAGGTGTGCATTTTCACATATCAAATAATAATGTTGTTAGGTTTGTTCTTATTCTTTTCGTATATTCTTTCCTTCATACAACTTGTACCAATAATATATGCGTGTTCTTCCCCAACCAATGTCTTCATACAGTTCTTAGTGATCTATAGTTACGAACACAGCTGGGAGAATGGATACCTTGCCTGCCTGACTTGGATTCTTGTTATGGATTCGAGGGTTTTTTGTTGTTGTGTTTACTGTGAAATCCTGGGTAGGTTGTGGTACTGAAGCTATCTACCAAAATCCTCGTCCAGGGAAATTGTCAGGCCAGGAAATAGTTTAGTTGACTAGTTGGTAACAAGTTCTTTATAGTGTCCCTGAACAATTTGAGCCATTCACGAACTAGAAGATCATGTGGCCCAAGCTTTTAGGATAAATCCTGCCTTTTGCCTATTATATTTTTTTTAAGGTTAAACCATATCCTCTTTTGTTGATACTTGGTTTCAAGGTGACAAGTATGTGATAATAATTTTGCTGGGAAAGTGAAGGTTGGTTGCTCTGATATATAACTGGCATAACTGGAACTTTAAATTTAATTCGCCTAAAAAGAAAGGTGCTCCTTCATTGAGTCTGTTGCGGTCTTTGTTTCTTATTCAATAATTTTTGTTTTTCAATAACCGGTTGTTTGCAGCAGTAAGCTTTCATTTCATTTAAGTTTTCTTGGTTTTTTGGAATGTAGTAAGGTTGATGTTGCATATTTAATAGGTTCCTGTTCGACACCTTGTTTTCATGGTTCATGGAATTGGTCAAAGATTGGAGAACTCCAATTTAGTTGATGATGTAGCTAGTTTTCACCGTATAACAGCAAGTCTTGCTGAAACACACCTTACTTCACACCAACGTGACTCCCAAAGGGTTCTTTTTATCCCATGCCAGGTAAGCAATCTATTTTGTATGCTATTCAGCCCATTTAGTTTCTACTTAATTTCTTTTTAATTATCACAAAACTCCTGTTTCGTACTATATGAAATAAAGTGAATCACCACTTCGGTGATGCTCGTGAAACTAGTTGTGTTTTTATAGTATATATAAACAGGGAGCTAAGAGAGCACCCATGGTGTTGTATGTGGTTGTCTATCATAATGTTGATCATCATTCTTCTCCTTAAAAATGAGTAAATATTCGTTTCCCAAAGTAAGAACATTTGATGGTCATTATTCTTGTCCTTAAATATGACTTCTTAATCATCTCCCTGCATAAACGGTCTGGTCTATATAAATCAGTTCTATTTAAGAGGTCTGGTCTAGTACTTTATGTTTGTTCTTAGTTGGTGGATTCCTTATCCACTTTTTGTAAATCCTTCTGTTGTTTATAAAAATTGTTTCGTAAAAAATAAAAATAAAACTGAAATAAAATAATGTAAAATCTTCTGACATTGAAGCTTGTTAGTCTCCTCACACCCCTGGAAGGTATATTTTAAAACATCTTGGAGATTTTAGAATCATGAATTTGAATTTGGCTATCACTCTTTGGTACCATGATATGACAATATTTCTATACTCGAAGATGAAAATTAGTTAAGGTGGCTGATTTGTTGCGGTAGATGCTGCAGCCTGTTCTGATATGTTGCATGCCTCTGTTTAATGTCATTTTGGATTTATATGGTACCTTTTCAAACTTCTAATCTGGTTTAGTTTCTTCTTCATTTTCTCATTTTTATTCCTTATTTTTCGTTTGTGCCTTTTATATGCAATTCTATCCTCACTTTAGTTTTCTTTTTTTTTTTTTTTTTGTTTCATTGTTTTTCAATACTCTAACTGATTGATCTTTTGATTTCAGTGGAGAAAAGGTTTGAAGCTAAGTGGTGAAACTGCAGTCGAAAAATGTACTTTAGATGGTGTTAAGGGTTTGCGTGTCATGCTGAGTGCAACTGTTCATGATGTGTTATACTACATGAGTCCCATCTATTGTCAGGACATCATCGACGCGGTAGTGCATACTTAGATCATTTAATTTCAGTGGTTAGATATTGTTGGGATGATATCATGTTTCACTTTTCTATTACTTTTGCCTGAATTTTTGGATGTGAATGGCATCTTAATTGCACACTTTTTTCCCACCAGGTATCCAACCAATTAAATCGGTTATATTTGAAATTTCTTCGGAGAAATCCAGGTTATGATGGAAAGGTATGCAGTTAAAAAACATATCACTATATTCTTTAATCATGATTTGTCTATATAAGTTTGGATTTAAATTAAGTGCTTTTGTCTCACATCCGTATAGGTTTCCATATTTGGTCATTCTTTGGGAAGTGTCCTCTCCTATGATATCCTTTGTCATCAGGAGAATTTTTCCTCCCTGTTTCCAATGGATTGGATGTTCAAAGAACATGCTAGAGACAGAGAACCTTCTCCTGATATCGACAATCAATCTACATACAACACTCCAAGTAATTTGGGAGATGCAATCACTTCTGTAAATAATCAAACTGATGACATTATGGGTTCAATTGATGATGGAAATATGAATGCACAACCACCTCTATTGATACATGAGGATGGAAATGCTGAAGATGCCTCGATTGTTGTTGGTTGCAACACATCAGATTCTAATGAGGTTGTTGCACGGTCTGTGGACGCGAAACAACCACATGGTGATACATTTGTCAATGAATCAGTTTGCCAATCAAGCGACATGCTTAAATGGAATGGGTTGGATGAAACCAAAAGCATAAACTGTGGAGTCCCAGTTGTTGGTCCTGAGGATGTGGTTGAAGAAGTATGCAAAGAAACGAACAATAAAGACAAAGTAGTCAAATTGCTGAGGGAAGAGGTGAGATTATATAATTAGATAGGTTATTCTGCCTAGCCTTTTGTGGGCACCATTTATATACAATGCATATATTCAATGAATTCTCTATTTTCCAGATTGATGCACTCAAATCCAAAATAGCAGAATTGGAGGCCAAATGCGGTGATAGAGGTCATAGTCCAGGGTTGCATCAAGGTGCTCTATGACATTTGGATTACTTATTGTTCATTTTTCATTTAATTTTTGCTTCTAGTGTATGAAAGGAGCTCTTAGCGTTCATATACATAATCTGAACAGAAAATGAAGAGGTTCTTGCAACTGTGGCAAAGCAACCCATTTCTGAGGAATCGCCTGTTGTGCCAGATGTCTCACCCAAGAATCATACCCCTTATATCACATATACAAAACTTGAATTCAAGGTGCAAGAAAATTGTCCATTTATTGTATATCCCTCTTCCGTTTTGATAGTAGCATGTGCAAAATTTAAATTTTGAATTTCACCACTCATTAACTGTAACTCTTCACATTTCAGGTTGATACATTCTTTGCAGTTGGATCACCCCTTGGGGTTTTTCTTGCCCTTCGTAATATTCGTATTGGGATTGGTAATGGTCGATGATTATGTCTTAATATGCTTTACATGTTGGTGCTTTGCTTACCCAAATTATTGATTTCTTTCTGTGAAGGATGTTTTGATGCTCTTGTATGCATTACATGTGTGTTGTGTCTAGTTATATTGGGCTTCTTTCAAGAATATTTTATTTTTGTTACTGTGCCTATTGGTGCTTTTGTTGATGCACAAAATTAGTGAAGACTTTGGAACAACGTAAAGTGTCAAGTTTGTGAACTTCGCTCGGTTGCTCTAGTCACTAGTGAGGATAAATATGTAAAGAGATAAAGATAGGGAAGCAAACACAAGATGTACGTGGTTCACCCTAAGTTTGGCTACGTCACTTAGTAGAGGAGTTCTCATTAATAGTGAAGGGTTTACACAAATACATAGGTTCAAGCGTAATCATCATTAGTGAGTTCTAATGACTAGTTTAAGTACAATAATGACATTAGGGATTCATTGTTGGAGAATGGTCTTCTTTTGTAGTTGAGGAGAGTCTCTAGCTTTTGTTCGCGGTAGATGTGGGACTCTATGAGCTTTATTCTGACGTTGACATGAGTCATGTTGTGATTGGTCCCCTGATTGGAGGGAGACTCTTGTGCTTCGGCAAGGGTGCCTCAGCATGAACCCCTTAGTGGATCCTTGAAGGTATGAAGTTGACCGGTGCTTGGTAGTTTCGGGATTGGTCAAGTACAGTACAAACAGCTTTAACTTCTCAACGGTAGAAATTCAGATATTTGGTGACATCTGTATTGCTTCTACTGAGTGGGGTTTTTTCTGTGATTGAAATGGTGCATGCTATTTTCATGATGTATAATGGTGGGATGGTGGTAACCCGTGTTTAAGGTTGTTTTGTTGCTTTGTGCATTGGCTTATTTCCCTTGTATATCTTTACTTAATAAATTGAAGATCTGCCAGGAGATATAACTTCAGATATGCTTGTCTGCTTTTGATTTGAGACCTGAGTCTGAGATTTAATATACTGTATCATTTCATTTCAGGAAAGGGGAAAGAATATTGGGAAGAGGAAAATATAAGTGAGGAGATGCCAGCTTGTCGGCAAATATTCAATATATTTCACCCCTTCGATCCTGTTGCATATAGGTCTGTTACAATCCAGCTCTTGTGATGTTTGTATTTATTAATATGAAATCCAATTTAAGTTGAACCAGTACCAGATGTCGTTTCTCTTAGGGATATGGTTTGCAGTGCATGACATGAACCTTTTATTGAATATATTCCACTTAGTTAGCTGACAGTGCAAAAAAAAATCTGATGATATCATCAGGAAGTTCTTGTATACACATAAAACAACTTTATGTTTATCGCTTATTTATTTTATTATTTTGGGTTCTCTTGTTTAATTGTACATGTTGATCTAGGAGCACATGATAGAACTTTTCTCATATTGAAATGCAGAATAGAACCACTTGTATGTAAAGAATACATCGGCAAGCGACCTGTTATCATACCCTATCACAAAGGTGGAAAGCGGTTGCATATTGGATTTCAGGTAAATAATTTTTAACATATACATGATTGTGGATCGCCCACCTTAACTTCTCCCTTCCCCACGCGTTCTCTCTCTCTCTCTCTCTCTCACTCGCACACTGCTTTGTGATGTAGGAATTTACTGAAGATTTAGCTGCTCATTCTCAAACAATAATGGATCGTCTAAACTTCGTAACGGTAGGCGTGGTTAGACTTCTAGAAGTTGATATAACTTCTAATCTGTCATGGTCATACATCAGCCGTATGTATAGTAATTGTATTTCTGTTATGATAGTCTCAGTAAACTAGGGTTTTGGACTTTGAATATGTGAATCCTCTCTCTCTCTCTCTGTACAAATTAGTTTACACAATATAGTACGGCTAACTTATAAGTTTGCACAAACTAAGTTTCAAGGTTGCGTGCCAACTGCCAACATATAGGTGCCAGCACCAGTCTAAAACTATTCATCCTTGCATAGGTTCTTAATAGATAAATCATGCGACCAAAATATAAGTATTTCTTTATATGAGATTCTGCAAGTAAAACATATTGGGACTTAGGGTTTAATCAGTCCTTTTTTTTTTTTTTTTTTTAACAAAATTGTGTTGTTCGATTTACATCTATGATTTGGTTTCTATAATATGTTAGAAGTTGTTATAAAATCAAGGTTCTGTTATGTTTGAACACAGGTTAAAGTGCTGACAGTTTGCCAATCAAGAAGCTTGGACAGCCTAGAAGGTAGCAGATTTATTTATTTATTTATTTGCTTCTTCAATCTATATCTTCCTCTTTTTAATGATATTGACATCAAAGAATAAACTTTTAATAAAAGTGGCCTTCTGTAGTGATCTCGCTTTTTTGTTTTGGTTATATAGCAGAAGAATCAGAAACAACCCAAGAAAAGGAAGCAAGATCATACGGTTCCCTTATGATGGAAAGAGTAACAGGAAGTGAAGAAGGCCGGATTGATCATGTGCTTCAAGTGCGTAGATATTCCCACCACCTCATTCAGTCTACAACTCTACATAGACATACAAACACAGACACACACAAGAATTCACACTCGTTCTTGTGCATCCATTGATTCTCATTGATTTTTCTTTTCAGAAATATGCCTTCCATTTGATTGCCTTGTAGCTTTGTTGCGTTTCTTTATCTCAGTTAGACATAACAATTACTTCCCTTATGTCATCAGTACCAGCTCATTTCTTTGATTCCTCAATGAGTCTTTGGTGATCATGCAGGATAAGACATTTCAACATCCGTATCTTGCTGCAATTGGAGCACATACGTACGTATTCACTTCAAATGTTTCCTCGTACATGCAATTGGGATTGTTATTAATCTCTTTTTTTATCAAGTGAACTACTGGATACTGTTGATGCATGTTTTCGTGTATCCCCAAGCCATATTTGTTTATTTCCTTGCTGGTTTTTTTTTTTGGCAATTGGTGAACGGCCATATTAATTAAGATCTTGTTGCCTTTATCTGCTACCCGAATGTTCCTCGTATTCATTTAAAAGTATCAGTTCCTCATGTAATGGGTGAGTCTTGGTGTGCAGAAACTATTGGAGGGATTATGATACTGCACTTTTCATATTGAAACGCTTGTACCAAGGAATACACGATGAAAGGTTACGTGAAGAATCGAGTAGGCGAAATTCAAAAACTGAGAGTGGTTTCACAGGTTGGTCTGATCAAAGAGAGAAGGCAGAGGAGGAGCGTCCTTTGACATTGTCTGAAAGTACGGTCATAAATTTCTGAACGAAAGCTAACAAGTTTCCGAAGAACTCCTGGGTTATAACACAGCTTTCCCTTCGTCTGTGGTTGCAGGAAGAAGACGCTAGATTAGGTGGTAGCAGCAGGGATTAAAACCATTTGGAGTTGTACAACCGTAGCCTTTCTTTCTTCGACCAATTTCTTCACAGCAGGATGTCCAATCTGTTCCAGCTTCCATAAGACCGTGGCAGATTGGAACTACTTCAAAAACCTCAAGTTATGATACGAAGGATACTGTACTGGTAGCTTAGCTAGCTCCCTCCTTTGGTTAGATTGGCGGGCGCCGGAGCGGAAGGTGCGTGAGGGTGTTAACGCGTAGGTGCACAGACTAGATCTCTTCTTATATGCTGAATGAAATTAGTTATAGATTATCGGAGTCGAGAATGTCTGTAGAATACTTAGTCGAGAATTATGAGTAGAAAGAATTTAATTCATTGGATAGTTTAATTTAATCTCTCTTTATTCCGACACATAAATGAAGGGATCGAAGAGATTATGGCAGATCATGTTCACCAAGAAATAGACCCGAAATTTTATCTTGGTCCATTTGAGGTTGTTCCTTTTAATTGTAGTGAAAGATGTTTTCTCGTCTCTCGTTTATTTTCTGAACAAATCGAAGAACCTAATGAATCGAATTCATCATTGGCTAACATATACTTTTTTCCTTTGTCTATCATCTGATCCACAATAATTATGTATTCTTGCATTGCTTCTACTTGTGCTATTGCTTGGGAACTTCTCTTTCTAAAATCTCTCTTCCCACAGAAATGCTGCTTCTTGTAGTCCAATTATGTTCGACAATTCATCCATATATAGTAGGAAGCATAGTTAGTAAAATAGAATACGTACGTGTATTATTCGGTAGCTCGGCTACAAAATAATCTGAAAACTTGGCCATTTTTTATATTTTAATAATGTTTTAGTTTTTAATTATTTTTCTTAAAAATATGTTAAAAATACATCTAAAATACATGGATTTTATGTGTATTATTATTGACCAGAGATAGTATCAAGGGCCAAATATTTTGACATTGAATTTTCATCCAACGACCTACCTGTTTTGATTCCTTAAAAGCTATAAAAAATTTTGGTCCGTATCACTTGATTTGGTGGCCTTGGTGGAAGAGATTCAAAGATGATTTCTTTCCATAAATGATGAAGTGGACTATAATTAATATAATAAATAAAGAAATAAAGATTAAAACTTAAAATGAATAAAACTGTTTTTATTTTCAAGGCAGACAAATAGTATTGTACAGCCGTGTTAAGATGTAGTCACTGCATCAAAGACAAAGATGAATTTCATCGACAGCATGTATTGCAGACCTTTTTTTGTTGCAGAATTGCAAACCTAAACTGCAAATGAGAAAGATGGAGGTTGGATCTATTTTAACTTCACAAAATTCCTTTATCAAAATGTTTTATTTGAAGTTTAATTTTATTTCCATGTTATTGCCACATCATTTAGTAATCATCTTAACTTTTAATTAGAAGCGTTAAATATAAATAGAACCAAGATATAACAAAAAGTATAAAAATATTTGTCTAAATGTTTGTCATTTGATCTTATCTCTATTGACAAATGTGTTAAAATATATACATATACATATATATATATATATGTATATATATTTTTTTTGGTTAAAAAAGGTAAAAAGTACGTGTCACATCCCGGCCCAAGGCGGATCACTTCCCGAGCCCGCTCCACCACCGTAGCACGATATTGTCCGCTTTAGGCCCTGACCATGCCCTTACGGTTTTGTTTCTGGGAACTCACACAAGAACTTCCCGATGGGTCACCCATCCTGGGAATGCTCTCGCGCCCTACTCGCTTAACTTCGAAGTTCCGATGGAACCCGAAGCCAGTGAGCTCCCAAAAGGCCTCGTGCTAGGTAGGGATGAGAATATACATATAAGGATCACTCTTCTGGGCGATGTGAGATGTCACAATACACCCCCCTTAGGGGTCCGACGTCCTCATTGGCACACACGCGGCCAGGGTTAGGCTCTGATACCAATTGTCACATCCCGGTCCGGGGCGGATCACTTCCTGAGCCAGCTTCACCACCGTATCACGATATTGTCCGCTTTAGGCCCCGACCATGCCCTCACGGTTTTGTTTCTGGGAACTCACACGAGAACTTCCCGATGGGTCACCCATCCTGGGAATGCTCTCGCACGCTACTCGTTTAACTTCGGAGTTCCCATGGAACCCGAAGCCAGTGAGTTCCCTTGACAATCCCGGCCCAGGACGGATCACTTCCCGGGCTCGCTCCACCACCGTAGCACGATATTGTCCACTTTAGGGCCCGACCATGCCCTCACGGTTTTGTTTTTGGGAACTCACGAGCAACTTCCCAGTGGGTTACTCATCATGAGATTGCTCTAACCCCCTTCTCGCTTAACTTCGGAGTTCCAACGGAACCCCAAGCCAGTGAGCTCCCAAAAGGCCTCGTGCTAGATAGGGATGAGAATATACATATAAGGATCACTTCTCTGGGTGATGTGGGATGTCACAGTATGCATGCACGTGTCTTATACATTAGAGTTTTAAAAAATGTGTAATTTGATGAATGACTGAAATGTGTACGGAAAATTGAAGTGTTTTAAAATATGCTATGCTAGTACATATATTGTATAGAGAGCTTTAACGAAAAGAGTTTGAGCTAAGTTTGTTTTAATAAAAAAACCATCCTATAACTTTATTTAATGGAAATGGTTTAAACTTTAATGAAAATGACAAAAGTTAATATAATAAAAAATAAAATAGAAAAAAGCTGATGCGCAGGACCTGCGTGTCAGTCACACACTACTTCTAAAATCAGACGGTACTACACTATTTTTGAAATTTAACACTATTTTTGAAACTTAATATTATTTCTGAAAACTGAACACTAATTAATTATGAAACTAAACATGAGTACTACATTATTTCTGAAATTGAATACGAGTATTACACTAATTTCGAATTTGAACATAGACACTATTTTTGAAACTGTAATATAGGTTTATATGCACTAACTATTTTTGAAACTGCACACGGGTTGGCGTATAATAGAATTATCTTAAAACTGTCAAGCATCGCATGGATTAACCGCCGTTATAGATTATCATCAAACTCGTGATTATTTATTTATTTTTTTTTCAATATGAACTTAAGAGCCTATTATATCAATTTATACCCAAGTTATCAACCAGGGACGTGGATAATTCATCAATAAGGATGAATTGTATAACCTGAAAGGCAGGGCCCCAATTGGTAGAAAAAAACCCGCAACCCCTGGAGTTATCCTGCACTTGGAAGGAGTAGAAAAATGAATAAATATAGTGATAATTTGATTTTTCGTTGCCGTAGTAAATAGGTGAGAAATTAGAATTTGTTTCTTCGTCTTAACAAAAAATAAATAAAAACAAAATTAGGAGCAATTAATTGTGACACGTTCACTAAAGCGGACAGCTAATGCGGTCCACTTATTGAACAGGGTTCTATAGTCGGTCTGCGACCCCTGGATGCTCAAGGCGTCCTTGGGGTGATCTCGTAGTTCCTATGAGGTGGAGACAATGGGGTCGGTCCATGGATTTTTCTTCCTTATGCCATATTTCTCTCAAAGGGTTGAAGGGAGATAGTGCATCAAGCTGTTTGCAAGGGCCAACTTGATCTTGCAGTCAGTTTGATAATAATCGAGTAACATTGCTTCTTCGGCCCGAACCAAGGAATCCTTTAAATATGATGCAAAATGGATCTTGTTCTATCGTTGGTCAGAGATTTCTCTATGAATAATATGAATCGGAGTTCGAAGAAGGCGAAGGAGTCCTCGACCCGCAACGGATAGAGGAGGATTTATTCAATCACATAGTTTGGGTTCCACCAAAAGCGGGGATGATTGAGATTGTTTAAGCAACTCACATAATTCTTTGACATCTTGCCAATTGATTCTGAGAAGCTTTAATGAGATCAGAAACGAATTATGCAAAGTCTTCTAATTCTACAAATTGTGCCAATTCCAATTTTGATTTGCCATCAACTTGTTTCATGGCTTTAATTTGAGCTACGGATCCTACCTTGGAAACTGAAATACCTTATTATACTCTTGACTATGAAACCAAAGATATTGATATTTTGGTAGCATTTTGAGTAACTCCTCAACCTGGAGTTCCACCTGAGGAAGCAGGGGCCGCTGTAGCTGCTGAGTCTTCTACTGGTACATGGACAACTATATGGACTGACGCTAGCTGAAAACAATGGATACTAGGCGCTGTGCGTATCGACCTATGGAGTGTTGTAACTAATGCGTTAAGTATCCCGCCTGGGGAGTACGTTCGCAAGAATGAATATATATATATGATGTGGAGAAAAAAAAGAGAAAACGATTTCTATTTTGTTTTCGTTTTCTATAAACACCAGAAAACCAGAAAAACAGATATAACCAATACCCAAAGGAGATGATTTTTAATGTGACCGAAACACAGGATGGTGCACCACGTGTCATTATACAAATAGAGGGGTGTGTGTGTTAAAAAATTAATAACTTAAAAAATAAAGTTTTTTTACCACTTATATAAAAACACGTGATACACCATCCCTGTTCCGGTCTCAATGAAAAATTTCTCTATCGAAGAGAGGAATTGGTTGGCAAATGGATTTGAGTTGGCAAGTGGGCTTAGAGGCGCTTTGTTAGAGCAATTCCACACCCCTAAAGACTTTGCGCCAACACACCGCTCATTTATCCACTCAAGTAAACAGTAATAGACTCCAGTGTACAGTAATAGGCCAAACCATCTCCACCTCTAAAACCAAATAGCCTAGTCAATTTTATTAATTTTTATTATAAAATAATAATTTAACAAGATGAAGGGATATGAAACTCCCCCACCGCTCCCCTCCTCTGTCTCTGCCCAGAAGCTCCCCCACCACTCCCCTCCAATGTGCAGAAGAAAGAAACCCATTAACAAGATGAAGGGATATGGGAAGAACACAGTGGAAGGGATCTCTCTCTCTAAACCTCAACCTCTAGGAGGGCGTCAAAGGCCCCCAAACCCCCATCCCCACCGCCCTTTGCTCCGCCTGCAAATTGGCCTTCTTCAACCTCAGCCTTGAGGAGCTCTGCACCAAGATCTCTCTGCGACGTGTTGATTGTGCAGGAGGTTGATAACCCGGCTGACGTCAGATGGCCTGGCGTGTGGGTCTGTCGATTTTAGGCCGGTCTCTTGCCTGGCTTGGGTTGGGTGCCGGTCAAAATGCTAGGCTGGAGTGGATAGCTTGGGTGCCGGGCTGGTTTTTTGGTTGGGTGCTGGCCTATCAGTTCCCCGGTGGAACAGCTCTTAGGTGATTATTTGTTGTTATGTTTTTTCTTTTTCTCTTGTCCTTACCATTAAATAAAATTATTAGAAGGCTTTTAGTTAAAATTTAAAATTTTGAAATCATTTTTATTAGTTTCAATAATTATATTATAAGTATGTAGACGAATTTACCAACTATGTTAGGAAGGGCCTCTCGTCTCATTAAATCGTCTCATGCATACCAAAAAGAAAAAGAAAAGAAATAGGGTTCCTCGTAGAAGAGCCGCAGTAACCCTAGCTAGGAAAAGCATTGAATCCTTATGTGTACATAGAATAGAATGGGGTTGTTCACCACATGTAGCCGGTCATCTC